TTATGGGTCAGAGCATCTGCCCTCTGGTGGTCAGTGCATGTCATAGTGAGCGGTTGAGCGGCCTTAGCATATCATTAGCATATTACACTTTGATTGGTTGAACGGCTGACCAAACAACCAGACACTTAGCATATTAGCATTTATTATATAGCATATGTTTTTATTGATTTCAGAGAGAGAGGAAGGGAGAGAAATAGAGAGATAGAGACATTGATGAGAGAGAAACATTAATCGGCTGCCTCCTGCATGCCCCCTACTGGGGATCAAGCCCACAAACCAGGCATGTGCACTGACAGGGAATCAAACTGTGACCTCCTGGTAGATGCTCAACCACTGAGCCACACCAGTTTGGGGGGTTATATTATTTTTTAAGTCATTTCTTAAGCTTGAGAGTTAAGCTGATGAATTTCCATGCACATGCGATGCTTATGTATATTTTCTTGGTTTAAACAGATTTTGTTTTTTACAAATTCATTCTAGCAAAAGACTACAACTTTAGAGATCTGGTGAAACCATACTTCTTAATTGATATATTTGACAATGTCTGGTGCTTATAAGAATTGTATGGATTTCTGAGTGTTTGTTGAATTTTAAAAATCCCTATTTCTATCCCTATCCTGTGCAACTTTAAACACATCACTTGTGTGGGTTTTAACATAGTGTGCAAAAGTGTTTCTAAGACACCCATTTGCTTTTGAGTCTGTCACAGGGACTTCTAGCTAAATTGGCCTGTACCTTCTGACCCTTGGGTTTAATTAGAGACACACAGGATGTTTTCTCCAGGGTTTGCAATTTATGCTCATTAATTGTATCTTAGAAAAACAAGGTATTAATTAGATTTACAATGAAATATTAGGACAAAAACATGTATCATTTTTCTGTAAAGATGTACCCAGGGTATATATGTACATCTGTATTTTATATGTCTGTGTAAATAACTTAATTATAAATTGTTTGTCTGAGATATTGACACACATGGCTATTTTAAAGAGAAATCCTGACATTTGTATTTGTGAGTAAATATAAGATATTTGCAGTACCCATTCATTCCCCCAAAGAAGTGAACTAGTTTAAACATTAACATTTGTACTAATTCCACAGAAAGTCCCTATAGGAGCTGTTCTAACATTCCAATGTCAACATTTTCAAAAGAATACATTTTCCCCCAGGGAGGTAAAAAGATCTTGATCTGTATATTTTAGTTGAGGATCTGAATGGTACAGGAGAAATCAATGGAGAAGGAGAACGGGGAGCTATTTTCATTCAAAAGCACTAATTGCTTTAGATTTCTTAGTTTGAAAACACGCATTCATTCCATTTTCTTTTGATTTTCCTGCATGGGAGATAACGATCCCGTGCTGGTTAAATACAGCGATCCTTTCCTTAAAGATGACATATTGATTACCCTGATGGAACTGGGTCTTTTATTGAATGCTTACAGACTCGCCCTTGCTGAATCAATCAATGAAATGCTAATCAATAAGCCGGAAATGTTTGGGCAGTCATAATTCTATTTTCCTAATTGGGACCGATATAAAATGTAAGTACAGCTTTAAAAAACAACAATACAATCATCATCAGGGTACCGAACAGCCAGCTGAAAAATCATCTTAGAAGGCCCTGCCTCGTGAATGCTTACAGACTCGCCTTTGCTGGATCAATCAATGAAATGCTAATCAATAAGCTGGAAATGTTTGGGCAGTCATAATTCTATTTTTCTAATTGGGACCGATATAAAATGTATAAGTACAGCTTTAAAAAACAACAATACAATCATCATCAGGGTACCGACCAGCCAGCCGAAAAATCATCTTAGAAGGCCCTGCCTCAGATGGCCCGGGCTTCCATCACCAAATGCCGCCCACTGGGTAGCTCAACCAACAGGAGTTTATTCCCGCCCAGGTCTGGAAGCTAGAAGTCTGAGGTCGAGGTC